CCTTCTTTCCCTCCCCCTTTCCCTTTCCCTTTCTCTTTCTTTTCCTCTTCCTCTTCTTCTTCCTCTTCCCTCCCTCCTTTCTTTTCCCCTCTCTTTCCTCTTCCCCTTCCTTCCTTCCTTCCTTCCCTCCCCATTCTTCTTCTTCTTTTTCTTCCTCTTCCTTGTCTTCCTTCCCTTCCTTTCTCTCTCTCTCTCCCTTCCTTCCCTCCCCCTTCTCTTCCTCTGTTTTCCTCTTCCCCATGCCCTTCCCTCCCTTCCTCCCTTCCTTCCTCCCTTCCTTCCTTCCTTCCTTCCTTCCTTCCTTCCTTCCTTCCTGAATGAGATCACCACGTTCACAGCCTGTTTTGCCTGGACCTAAACACCCAGCAGGGAAGAAGTGAGGGGGAATTTTTCTTCTATTATAATCACGTCCTTATTAAGGAAAATGAATGTTTCAGTACTGCTCCTTGCAATCCAAAAAGAGTGAATTTTGCCTTATTCAGAACTCAGACGTGGAACTAATACCATTAGCATCAGCCAATTTAAAGAGAGGCTAAATAGTGGGGGGAGGGAGGAATAACAGCACACCTGGCCATTCAGAGAGGCTCAATAAGTAAAGTATGGAAAGTGGCATTTACGGGAAAATTAGCTTATTATCTGAAATCCTGAGCAGGAAAGCAGCTAATAAATTTTATAGAGAATAAGTCAATTTTCATAACATACCCCAGATGATAAATGTAATAGTAAATTTGTACAAAACTCATTGTTTTCTCATTTGCTGTATCCCTGATTGTGTGTTACTGCCCTGAAAATTGTGGTTTGTACATGTAGGAAAGAGAAAGCTACCTAGAGAAGAAAGGAGGTTAGTCCTAAAGTGGGCCAGTGAAGAAAAGAATTAGGATTAGAAATATTCACGATTGAACCGGTTCCTGTAACCCCACCTTCCCCAACCTGGCGCTCTCCATCTTCAGGAGGTTGCCATCGTGAAAACATAAAGTCTCCTACGAGTTGAGTTCAGCTCCTGTTGACTTCCTAGAAAGGGTCCAGCAGTTTGCTGGATGGCAGGAGAAATGCAGTTTCCACTGCCTTTTGGGGGGAGGGGGGTGTATTTGGGTCTGGGAGATGCTTCTGTTCAGATGGGAACGCACCTTAAAATTTTTGCAGTCTGCGCCCCTTAGAGGAGTGGGCACACTTCCCTAAAAACTGCCTGAAAATCAACCTAAACCAGTGATTCTTAAAGTGTGGTCTGAGGGGCCCTGGGGATCCCCCAAGACGCCCTCAGGGGTCCGTGAAATCAAAATGGTTTGCCAGATGTCAAAGATATTTGCAAAAATTTAAAGCAATGTCACTCCTGTCATTATTATGGTATACTTGTTTTAAAAATATAGGTTTTTTTCATGGCAAATATTATGTTAATATCTAATGGGTTTAATGCTGTCATTTTTACATGATTCAATACATAAATATTCTACGAACGTGTCCATTTTAATTTTTACTCTGGTCAATATTGATATGTATATAAGCCATACCAAGCAAAGGTTTTTTAGGGTCCTCCATCATTTTTAAAAGTGGGAAAGGGTCCTGAGAACAGAAAGTTTAAGAAACGCTGAGCTAAAGGCCCATGAACAAGACCAGGTTTGTTTGTTCTCTTCAATGATCCAAGATTTTTTCCCATTGCGAGCAAAGGCTGCCGGTCTGCTTCACAACAGCATGGTTTGCTTAACCATGGCTTACTGGATAAACAACCATGGGGGGCTCCCCAACCTGCTACGGCCAAGATCAAATAAGCCATTTGCAAGAACTCCTAACCCGGGATTAAGAGGAAAACATAGAGTTAAACCATTACACGTTTGTTTCCCCAGCCCTACGCTTTCTCTCCCCAGCAGCATTCACCATAAACCGTGCCTTCCAAAACGCCTCTCTTCTGCATGGCAGGTGGGCCAATTTGATTTACTAGTAATTTGCAAAAGATTTGGGGAATTTTTGAGCCTCAGCTACTGTACTTAACCGTATCTGATTGGCAACAGTTTTTTCTCTCTGCAAATAATGATACGGAAATTAAGAATGCGTGGGATAACCAGGCTGGATTTCTGTATAGAAGAGCTGCATGCTTTATTCAAGAAAAGGATGACACAGTTGCGGTGATGTCTTTGCATAAATGCTACTATTACATGTCTCTGACATGAGTAGGTATGTCCACGGGGGGGGGAGGGGGGTCAAAAAAGTCATGATGGCAGGCACAACAATGCAAAAAGTCCTATCCTTTTTGATGTGTCTCCTCTTCCTGCAGAGGCGCATAATGTCATGACAGCCATGTTGTCATCTGCCCCGTTGACCGGCCTCCCACGCACAGCCATGAGCACATCATCAGCTCACACGACATGCAAAGCCATATGGCAGCGTGGCTTCAGTTACCACCTAAACCAGCATTTCTCAACCTTGGCAACTTGAAGATGTGTGGACTTCAACTCCCAGAATTCCCCAGCCAGCCTAAAGGACAATCAGGGGCATCTCCAGAGAAGGTCAAAACCACGTGATCAAAGTGTGGTTTTCCACGCACAAGGTGTGCAAAAATGAGCAAGGCTTCAATTGCGTGGTAGCACCCACCGTTTGGATCCCCCCACGGATGCCTGGGAAGTGGGTCCCAGGCTGGACTAGGTGACCTCGAAGGTGTCCTCCAACTCTACGGTTCTATGATTACGAGCTTCCTCGGAGGCCACTGCACTCACCGCATTGCTGCCTCCTCCCCTTGCACTTCTCCTCGGCGCCCTGGACGCAGGCTGCTGGGCTGGGCGACCGGGAACAGGGCTGCGCATAGAAGGCACACAAGCGACGAAGTTCTGCCAGCTGCTTCTCTCCCGGCGCCTGGGCAGCAGCCAGCCACTCTGAGCAGCTGGGCTCCCGGCTGGAGGGCGATCCTGTGGCAGAGGAGAGCAGAGGGCAGTCGGGGCAGCGCACAGGGAAGGCGCAGGAAAATCCCCACACACACACACACGGCTTTCCTTGAACCACAGGAAAAGCAGGCAAACTCCACAGGTTCCCAGGCTGTTTGGAAACCCCATGCTCAATGCAGAGAGCAAAACTCTTGCTCAGGGATTAGGGAGGAGTGCTGGACAAGGACCCCAAGGGTGCGTTCACCCAACATGCTAGTCCATGCTCAAACAGTGGGCCAGTTGGGGGGTTCAATGTCTGGTCGGAATGACTCAGCCATAGCCTTAGCACAGCAAGGGAACCAGGCTTGTCCCCAAAGCCGCAACACGGTTTGTTTGTTTGTTTGCTTGGGCCCACGCTTCATGAGAATGCTGCCGTTGGGCTAAGCTGGGTTTCGGTCTTTGCCAGTCGTGTGAACCCAGCCCTTTGGTGTATTCTGCCCCCTGCTGGGGGCACTGGGGAAGGGCAGCCCCTCACACTCACGCTCCATCTGCTCTCGGATCCAGCCGGCAAAGGCAGCGATGCGGGTGTACACCCCCGGTTTCCCGCGCTCCCCGCAGCCGGCGCCCCAGGAGGTGATTCCGTGCAGGACGTAGCGCTCCAGCAGAGGATCCCAGCAGGTCAGGGGCCCCCCAGAGTCCCCCTGGAAAGAGAAACGGATGCAAGTCCAAAGCAGGAGGAGGACACAGCTGTGTCCCTGGAATGAATCCTGGGTTGTGGGAATCAGTGCTATCAGGTGGAGGAATCCCACACCCGAGGGTCTCCCGGGGGCGGCGGAGTCAACAAGAGGGCAACTACAGCTGTGCAACCAAGGTCCTGCCCTCTTGACTTTTTTGACCCTCCCCCCCGGATGCCAGTGACTCCTTCGGCCCCAAGTCCAGTTCCCACGATATATAGCTTTTTCTCTCTTGCTTGCTCATGTTTGCACATATGCACGCAGGCACACATAGAGAGATGCTTCTCCAGGGCTCGCTGTCTTCGAAAACAAGCCACCATTTCCATCCGATCCAGTTTGGGACCTTCTGCTTTTTCCTCCCTCCCTCCACACTTTCACTGCTGCGTTCACACGGTGCGCTCAAGGCGGCCACCAAATTCACCCGCTTCCTGGGTTCGCCCAGTGCATTTATCCTCCACCTCCCCCAAACTGTCCAAGGTTAAGGGGAGCCCAACTTGGCCTTTTCTGCCAACACATCACCTAGTCTTCAACAGACGTGGTGAAGCATGCAGTATGAGCCCAACCCACGAAAGCTACCATTGATTATTTTGTTAGATTCGTATCCTGCCATTCCTTCAGGAGCTCAAGCCGGTATACAGAGCCCTCCCTCCGCGTAGCTCAGTGTTGTCCAAACTTGGCCACTTTAAGATGAGTGGACTTCAACTCCCAGAAT